CCTACGTGCCTGGGTGCGTCGCCCGGCGGCCGCGCGGCCTCGATCTTTCCCCCCGCCCGGGTCTCTCCGCCGGCCGGACCGGCCCACCCGGCGCAAGGGTGCTCCTTTGCGCCCTGCTGCGCCCCCCTCCGGGGTCTGATCAGCACGCGTCGTGAGACCCGGCCGCGCGAGGGGACCGCCAGCCCCCTCCCTCCCCCCCCCCTCCCCGCCCTCCCCTCCTTTCTTTCGGCTCCCCCTCCCCCCTCTCCCCCCTTTCCCTCTCCGGTTGTCACAAGCCCGTCCCCGGCTGTAGCACGCCCCTACCATGGTCCGTGGCTGCCTCCGCGCGCTGCCCCTCTTGCGCGTGTCTGCGTGTACCTTCCTTGCACCCTGGCCACTGACATTTCCCCCCCCCCCCTCGCTCCGCCGCTGTCCTCAGGCCCAAAACGACTATATTGAGTTGGCCCAGAAGCGCCATGGCCAGCGCTTCGACCACGCCGAGCGCACGTACGTGTCCCGCCGCCGCGCCCCTTTCCCCCTCCCTCTCGTGGCCGGCACGCTGACCGGCATTTCCCCGCCCTCCCCTCCCCCCCCCCTCCCCTGTTCCGGCACAGCCGCAAGCGCAAGGCCCGCGAGGTCCACAAGCAGTCGCAGTTCGCCCAGAAGGTCCACGGCCTGCGCGCCAAGCTGCACAACCGCAAGCGCCGCGTCGAGAAGATCCAGATGAAGAAGACGTACGTGTGCCCATCCCCCCTTCCTCGCCTCCCCCCCCGCCCCCTGTGCCCCCCGTCCCGCCCCTGACCCATGCGCCCCGTGCTGTCGCGCCTGCCCGCACACAGCATCAAGATGCACGAGGAGCGTGCCACCACCAAGCGCGACGACGACGCCGTCCCCGATGGCGCCATCCCCGCCTACCTCATGGACCGCGAGGGCGTCAACCGGTCCAAGGTCCTGTCCAACATGATCAAGCAGAAGCGCAAGGAGAAGGCCGGCAAGTGGTCCGTCCCCCTGCCCAAGGTCCGCGGCATGTCCGAGGAGGAGGTCTTCAAGGTTGTCAAGAGTGGCAAGCGCAAGTGTACGTCTGCCCCCCCCCCCCCGCTTCCTTTCTCCCCGCCGCTCCTCCGCTGACCCGTGTTCCCCCTCCCAGCCAACTCCTACAAGCGCATGGTCACCAAGGTGACCTTCGTCGGCGAGGGCTTCACCCGCAAGGTATGTGCTCGGGCCGCCGCCATCACCGCCCCCCGGCCTTGCCCCGTCTCTCGGTTGCTGACATTTCCACGCGCTCCCCTCCCCCTCCGCGCGGCGCCCCCTGGACACAGCCCCCCAAGTTCGAGCGCTTCATCCGGCCCATGGGCCTGCGCTTCAAGAAGGCCCACGTCACCCACCCCGAGCTGCGCACCACCTTCAACCTGCCCATCATCGGCGTCAAGAAGAACCCCAACTCCGCCCTCTACACCCAGCTCGGTGTCATCACCAAGGGTACCATCATCGAGGTCAATGTCTCGGAGCTTGGTCTCGTCACCACCGGCGGCAAGGTCGTCTGGGGCAAGTACGCCCAGGTCACCAACAACCCGGAGAACGACGGCTGCATCAATGCCGTGCTCCTGGTCTAAGCGAGAGGCTGCCCATATCGCGCATGCGCGCGCCTCCTTGTTTTTCCTGCCCTCTCTCGGGCGGGAGACCGACCGAAAGATGGTCCCCTCCCCTTCTCAGAGCATAGGCGAAAGTGCGCGCCGCCGGGTGCGTGTGCGTTTCTCCCCCCCCCCCCCACCCTGGTGTGCGCATGTGTGGCGGCGGCCGTTAGAGAGATTTGTGCCGCCCTCGCCCCTCCCCCCCCCCCTCCCCCGGGCACATGTCCGCCCCTTTTCGACGCAGGGCGGGCACCCGGAGCCAGCCCTTGTTGGGGGCGGTGATATGGAGGGCCCAGGAGGAGGGGGAGGGGGAAGAGAGGGCGCCAGGACGGGCATGCACACATACACACCCGTGTGCCGATCTCCCC